AACTGATGCAAGTTTCATGAAATGTTGAGTCGATTGAGGTATCGCATCATACAGCAAGGTGTGAGGCCGCTTAATGGTGTGCGATGAGGGCACGTTGGTGTTACGAGGGCCGCACAGGTAATATGTAAAAAACCTATAAAACGTCAAAATAACCTATAAAATGTCATTTTGCAGACTAGGTAGTTTTTAGGGTGCAAACAGTCATTCCACGTTGCATGAGGTATAAAATCAGTGATATTTGCTGTGTGAGAAAATCATTACTGAATATGTTGCCAATGAAGTTTATCCATTAGATGTGCCCGACAGGTTATTTATATGTTGCCCTTTCTGAAGGCAGGTTATATTCAAAGTTATAAATTACGATGTTTTACGTTTTTTGTGTTTCCAAAAACTTTGAGAATTGAGGGAAATCACCGTGCCCGCGTTGTGTGTAATTACTGTTAGCATGTACGAGCCCCTTCCCACTTCAGTTGGCCCACTCAAGATTTGTACCAAAATATGCGTTTATAAATTAAACATGACGAAACTATTTACTTCTAAAACAATTTATTTTCTCAAAAACATTTTAGATACACTCTAGACCTATAACTAATAGAACATCTGAACAAATAAACAATATGCGAATAGATGCGCGAAGTTAACAAAGCAACAATTGAAAGATTACCATTGGGTAACATCACCTTTATTTTTTATTACGGCTGAAACTCTTTGGGGCATAGTGTTAACCAAGTTTTGGCAAAAATTTGGTGTAAAACAATACCATATTTCTTGAAGCTTTTGTCTCAGTTCGGTGATTGTACGAGCAGGATGTTGTCGTAGAACCTTTTTCATCTCGTGCCACAACGTTTCAATAGGTGACAGATCTGGACTGCTAGAAACCCATTTCAAAAGTGGTACAATTATTTTCTTCCATCCATTTTATAGCCATCTTGCTGAAATACAAAATCTTGGCCGGATGTCAAACATTCTTCCATCACTGGTAAAAGCGATTCTTCTTAAATTAACAAATATTTGTTTGTATCCACATTTCCATCAATAAAATGAAGTTTTCCTACTCCTTTTGATGACATACTGCCCCAGACCATAATGGATGCTGGAAATTTCACTTTTCTCTTCAGACAGTCAACATGGAATGCTTCATTTTTTTTTGCGAATAACTCTACTGCGACTGTCACCAACACAAACTTCGAATTGGGCCTCATCACTCCATTGTATTGCACACCATTGTTGAGGTGTCCATTGTCTATGTTCTTTAGCCCATCTAAGCCGATTTTTCTTTTGCAGTGGAGTTAATAGTGGCTTTTCTTTGGCCTGTAAACAAGTTGTGCAACTTTACGGTTTTTACTTCACTCTTTTTAAGAAAACTTACCTTGCAAGTGCTAAATCCCATTTTGTGGGCCTCTCTATGAGTTGTGGAACTCGAAATTCTCCTTCCAACATAGTCACTCCACAGAGCATTTAATTGTAAATAATTGGCACGCCTGTTTTTCATGATTATTCTTCTTAATGCTGCTCTTCGGTCGGCATTTGTGATATTACTTTTTTTCACATATCGTGGCTTAATATTAACTGAACCAGTTACGTTATATCTTCTAACAATATTTCTCACACTGTACCGCGCTAAGTCTAACGAAGTTGCAATTTCTGAGTTTGATTTCCCAGAATTAAAAAAATTAATTATCAGTAACCAAATTTTCTCACTAATAACCTTTCCTCTACCCATTTTGAAAACCTTAACTACCCAAAACTATTTTAAACGTATTCTGACAGCTGTGATTAATAAAAACAATTGTCATGGCTTTTATTTTTCACAGCCACCTATGCGTTATAGACTTATTTTGCATTGAAATGAAAATAGGTTGATATGCTGTAATTGCAACATGTGTTATTTTTATGCTGCAAATTTGATTAGGGAGTGATAAAGTTGGTGTTTTCTACTATATATTATCAAAATATTCATTGTTAATATTGTAAACCTATAACACCCTGCTACATTTTTATTATTTGTGTTTCATAAGAAAAAAACTAAGATTTCAATAGTTGGGCCAACTGAAATGGGAAGGGGCTCGTATATGACTTGTACTTCGACAGTGTCCAGTGAATATAATTATTTCTTATCTTTCTGATTTTTGAAATTCTTCAACTTTGCATATGTAACTTCCAGAAGGGATAAGAAAGAGTGGATGCGCAACTAATTTCTAGCTTTGAATCTCAAGTAAGGGTATTTGAGACAAGAATCCAATGGAATTATCATCAACACATACAGACTTCCAGCAATGCCATATCTGAAGCAGATTTTCCATTACATCAGCGTCAAGTAGTGATAACTGAAGCCTCATGATGCTTACGCAACACGTACAACTAAGTGCTAAGCTAGCATCTTGTAGAGAATCCTACATAATGTCACAAAAAAGCAATACGATGTCAAAAAAAATCAGCATAATGTCACTTTTCAAGATACGTAATATCCGTACCGGTCGGTTTTCACTCCAAGATGTGACGGAAAACTAAGTCCCCATATCTTTGGCAAGAGTGGAGAGGGACAAAAACACCATGAGATCAGATCTAGAATTCTTACTCAACATCCACCTCATAGTGTCGTGTGTCACTGGTGGATGCTTTTCCAAGGAAATATGATTCTAAGGGGTATGAGTATACCTGTAACGATACCGCGTGCAGGAAAGATTCACTCTTGGAACTTGCACAATAGTTAAAGGCGGAGATATTTGTCATCTTAATGGTGGAATACTCAGAGAAACATCAACAGTGCACCGAGCGGTGCGTGTTTAAAGGGTGTTTCAATAAGGACGCAATATTTCAAGATTCTATAAAACATGGTATTTCCTAAAAAACAACTGGAATATTTATTGGATTATGGAATTATTTATGAAACAAAACATCAGGTAAATGGCTGCCACGGCTCCGCTAGCGCATGCCCACTCCTTTAATAAAGTTTTTTATCTGGACAATACTTGAAATGTTATTATTTCAAACCTGGTTGTTTGAAAAAGAAAGTCGCTACTTTCAGGACACATTGTATTTCCAATGGTATATATCAGCTGTACATATAATCCGACAAAACGACTGAAATGACTGGCCACATCTGTCTATCTGTCTAAAGTTTGTTTGTCGTCACACCGTACCGCAATGATCAATCTAAGCAAGAAGTATATAGAAAAAGGCAAGACAGGTATGATGTAAAGAGAACAACTGAGAGTGACTTTTGGGAAATTCTTCACTTCGTCAACGTTAGAAAATTAACCGTGAACTTTGGAAAAATGCATTTTCTACCCTTCACATCATACGCATGGCATCTACCTGATTCTTTCCTTCAAAATGGACAAAAGAAATTTGAAAATTGGCAGAGTGGACTATATCCAATATTTAGGAATTTTTAAAATAAGATTTGTTACACAAAATTATATTCTTCACAGGCGTATTGAGAGAAAATTATATGCATACTATACATCGTGGCTTGATTGAGCCGCACCTAATGTGTGGCATATTAGCGTACAGCATGTCCAGCGTATTTAAACGATAAAGAAGTTTTACAGAGAACTGTTTTGAAAACCATGTTCGGAAAACCAAGATTATAAAGGGTGTCTCAACAAGATCGCCGGATTTGAATTTGCCGCCAATTTTTTATACAAATGGTATGGTGATTACTTGATGTAGTGTCCCGACCACGCGATTAGATGTCGTGGAGCAGTATTCAAACGAGCAACGTTTAATTATTGTGAAAACTCACTACAAAAATGGAGAAAATTACGCGGAAACAGCAAATTACGTACAATTTTCGGTCGTAATAATGCCCTAAATGAGTCGACCTTTCGTCGTTTCATTAGAAGATTTGAGACAAAATTCACGTTGCTGAATGTGAAGACCACTGTTCGTCGCTCTCCTGGTCGGTCCCAGTCGCAGTGCAGAAAAGTGTGGCCCAGAATCCAGGCACTTCCACTCGGCATCGTGGCCAAGAATTGAACCGTACCAGACCCACTCTGCTAAGAATTTTGACAAAAGATCTGTGCATGCATGCGTACAAGGTTCAACTGAATTCGTTGACTAGGGCTCTGGAGCACCACCAAATTGATGCGGATCTCTCGAGGAAAATGCATCCGCCGCGAGTTATCGTTTGGTGCGCATTGTGGAGTGGCGGAGTGATTGGACCGTATTTCTTCGAAAGTGCAGCTGGAAGTGCGGTAACTGTTAATAGTGTGCGGTATCGCGAAATGTTAACCGAGTTTTTGTGGCCCCAGTTGGATCGAATTGATGTGGAGGATATGTTCTGCCACACAGCACGCGAAACAATCGTGTTACTGCGGACCAAGTTTCCAGACCGTGTCATCTCTCCGTTTGGCGATCAAAATTGGCCACCAAGATCGTGCAATCTAACGCCAATGGACGTATTTCTCTGGGGCTATGTGAAGGAAAAGGTGTATTCGAACAAGCCACAAACAGTTGAAAGCGTTAAAGAAGAGATACGGCGAGTTATCGATGAAATAGAGCCACAGTTGCGCGATAACGTTTTCCAGAATTTTAAGAAAAGACTGACCCTGTGCTAGAAGTTTCGTGGTGGCTATTTACCGGATGTCCTATTTCATATTTAATCGCAACTATTCCTCTTGATGTTGAAATTTAAATACTCGCTTAATTCGAAAAGAAATAGTGTTTTTCTTGAAAATCAAACCCGGCGCTCTTATTGAGACATCCTTTATTTAACAAATGATTTATACAACGCAACAAAATTGTTTGATATCCAACTTTATTTCATACATCCTATCAGCCATTATGATACTCGATATAAGTTACGTGCAAAATTTGCCCCTAAACCTCATAAGACCATAATATCAGAAATCCTCTCTCTATTTGGCTCCAAAACCATACGAATATGTACCCAAAGACACAAAGGTAATTCGAAATATACATGATTTAAAAAAAAGATATATCAAAACGGATTCGCTCTATGCAGACAACATATTACATATATAGTATACATCATTCTTTCAACTTTTTTATTTTGTATTAGGAATGTCACGTTTCAGCATACAACTGATCCATGTACAGTACAGGCATTGTTCTTCTACGGACTAAAACGTATCTATTTATCCATTATCTATACTATTACTAGTAGGTACTACTACATAATGACATCGAGCTGGGTTGGTTGGTCGAACATTCATATATATTCCTGTACCAGCTCTTTGTCTGTTTGAGAAATAAAGCCACATTTCTACAAAAGATGCTTAATTATTTGGTAGTGAAATAACATATCAATTCTATATGTATGTTCTTCAGGAAAATTATAATACTATCTTAACGCTGCTCGGTGCTTTATGAGGTGACTTTTCAGATTCTCCCTCAGTTTTGTCTGATAGGGGCAAATGAAACACCTAAACAACTCACTACACTGTGGTTCATAGTGAATCAGAGAGTGAATCTTGAGATTGCTTTTCCAATTGGTCTGATACTCGCACTTACTACATTCATAGCTTTGCAAATCTTGCAATTCCTCTGAAATCCTAGCGTTACTTTCAAGGCTAAAGCCACAAGAAGGAAACATCTCCATATTGAGAAACTTATGTCTTCTCTGACTATGGTTCTTCAAGTTACCCTTTAGCTTGGTTTGATAAGGACAGAAAAAACATTCGAACATTTTCACATCCAATGGACTTTTGTGGATCAAAAGATGGGTTTTTACGTTGCCCTTCCATTTTGACTTGTAGGTGCACTGAGGGCAACAAAATTTCAGTGGTATTGGCTCACCGCTTAGATCTTTATCTGGTATGGTTTCCGAGCTCTGACCTTCTCCTGGTACTGTGTTTTTAATATGTGAACATTCATGCCATCTGAAGCAATCAGCACTAGTTGTTTCATAGTAACAATAGTTGCATATAAATATTTCTTCACAAATCTCTTCGACATCACTACAAACTTCTTCTTTAATTTTTACATCTTCTTTGCTTTCTTCTTGATTTGCAAACATGGTAGTTTGAGAAATATTCTCATCATTTAGCTCTCCACTATTTTTTGAAGGTGACATATTTCTATCGCAAAACATTTTACGTGAAAACTCATTAATATAATAGATTTCAGTGACAAGTACAATACCTGATGTAACATATGTATTATTATTTTATTTGTTCGTAAAGTCAAAGATGACAGTATGATTGCCATCACTACCATCTTTGATTAAATAATTAGTCACTTGACGGAGCTGGTAACTATGCACTAGTACAGCATGCTATCTACTAATTATTAGAGGCACCCAGAGCCGTGGATATTCTAACGAATGTGATATACCGAGTGTTTCGCATTCGAACCTCACCACTGGGATCTCGATAGAATTTAGATATGATGTTTCGTCTCTTGTCCTCAGTCATCAAGATTATTTTTATATGGGCTCCATACTGGATTTTTGAACAGACGAATAGGGTTTTTTATTTTGATTTGAAACATCAGCCGAGAACTCCTTTATTTTCTATGAGCTGAGCATAGTTGAACAGTTCCTATTTTCGATTTGAATGATGTGATATTGTACATATCATGACATATACTAATACTCGTATTACATTATATAAGGTTAGTAATGGAAACATTGAGAGAAGGATATTTTTGGAAACGGATGGGAGCATTTTAGAGTAAGAAAAAGCTTGTAAGATGCTGTAGGTCGCTCAAGACATTTCATACTCATCATGTCTAATTCGACGTACACATCTTGCATTCAAATAATATTAATCCACGACTCAGATGTCATATACAGGGTTATCCAAATTAAGTGTCCACCATTAGTAACTTTGTTATTAGTGAAAATACAAAGTTGTTTGAATTAGCAAACTAGTAGCATTTTTAACGCTGGTAAAAATGAGAAATAAAAAAAAACAATTGAGAGTCGTTATTTTGATTTTTTTCAGTAAAATAACATTTTTTTAAATGGAAACCCCTGTATATTATATTTTTTTCTGTTAAAGCATCAAATTTTAAACAAAAAAGCTTACAATAACTTTTCTCCTAGGTTACAAATTGTTGAAGTTATGGCCTCCAATCTGAAACAATTAAATTGTATCGACAAACTTTATTTTCAACATCAACTTATAATCTTACAAAATACAATAACAATTTTTTTTAAAGAAGATGCTCGAAAACACCACCTTGTTCTTCAATACATTTTTGGGCACGTTTTTCATCTGCTCGAACTGTCTTAAGTTTGGTCCTACCATCTATCTGGGTTATCTTTTCCCTAACTGCAGTCTTTAACGCGTCAAGGTTATCGTACCTTCGCTTGTAAATTTGGTTCTTTAAGTAACCCCACAAGAAGTAATCAAGTGGGTTTAGATCTGGTGATCTGGGAGGCCACTGTATTGGGCCATTTGTTCCTATCCACTGATCATTAAAAGTAGTATTTAGAAAATGATAAGTACCTCTGGAGTTGTGGGCAGGTGCGCCATCTTGCTGAAAATGCAGATGATGTCTACTTATAAGATCCAATTCGTCTAAGAAATTAGTCAGAATTTCTGACATAAATTCCACATATCTTTCACCAGTTAGGGTTCCCTCATAAAAGAACGGGCCAACAATTTTTGAACCAATTATACCGCACCAAACGTTGAAACTGAAACGGACTTGTGGGCCTCTTGGATGTACTAACAAAAGATTTTCTCTTGACCAAAAATGGTGGTTTTTTCTATTAAACATTCCAGAATTTGAAAAATTTGATTCATCTGTCCATAAAAGGTAACGAAAGTTACTTACATTTTGGCGACAGAAGCTAAGATACCAATGGCAAAAAACAAGTCTTCTCTCTGGATCCCCTGCCAAAAGCGTTTGAACTGGTCGGTACTTATACGGAATAAATTTGTATTTTTTTAAAATCCTTTGAACAGTACCATAACTGAAATTAGAGTCCTTGAGAATATCTACTATTGAATTCTCACGATAAGCTTCAAAATATCCAATAACTGCAATTTCCGTGGCCTCGCTTATTATGAATTCTTTTTTTGCCCTTGTTTTAGCAAAAACATTTTCGTTGCCCCTAAATTTTCGATAAAGTCTCAGAAAATATCGTTCATACGGTTGAATGCGAGCGGGATATAATTCACTGTAGTATTCTCTTGCTCTCAAGGAGGATTTTCTGCACACTAAATAGCATTCTAACATATCACACTTTTCTTCATGGGAGAACATTTTTCTTTAAATTAATGACACAATAAAGCTTATAAACAAGTATTTACACTAATGTTTGACATTATTTGATTTTATCATTGTTTTCCAAAGCCTTCTAGTTGCGAGTATGTCCAGTTTAACAATTTGTCGCTTATCTTAATGCTGTCAAATCGCGAACGCCATGTTGTTTTCATAGCCGTCTTAATATTATAATACTGCAAATAATTAAAAATATTTATCGTTATTTTGACTTTATTTTTGACTTTAGCGGAAAAGTCATTATGAACTTTTTTGTTTAAAATTTGATGCTTTAACAGAAAAAAATATAATATACAGGGGTTTCCATTTAAAAAAATGTTATTTTACTGAAAAAAATCAAAATAACGACTCTCAATTGTTTTTTTTTATTTCTCATTTTTACCAGCGTTAAAAATGCTACTAGTTTGCTAATTCAAACAACTTTGTATTTTCACTAATAACAAAGTTACTAATGGTCGACACTTAATTTGGATAACCCTGTATAGGAGGGAGCTTTCGTCATTCTAAAATAACAACTATTACAGTCGATGAATCAAACTTTTGGAATGAAATGAATTCGATTAAATCAGAAGAAACCAATCCTATATGCTTCCACTGCAACGTTTGTAGCCCAAATTGCGTAGTTTTATTGCATACGTTTGACTCATTTGTCCACCAATACCTATCAAAGTGACAGCGTTGTATCAACATAATAATAATATTTACCGGAAGCTTGTACTGCTCCTTGCAAATTATGTAGAAGTAGCCCGTCTTGCAATCGAATAAAACCACAAAACCAATCTGAAAACATCCGAACTTTTAAAAAACATTACTAAAACGAGATTAGTGACAGATCGGTCAAAAAGTTGACTTACGTCAAGTGCTCTTTAATCCTCACTATATACCATGAGAATAAGTATACAAACAAATCCTTGACATGCTCATTTTAGCTGGTCTGAATTCGTTGTAAAATCTGATATGGTGTCCACAAGAAGAAAAATAACGTATAGTCGAAATCGCGAAAGATGATGAATACGTCATTATTTTAGTCTGTAGGAAAGACAAAAGACAGCGATTTGTGAATATATTTAATGAAGTTTCTATGTTAGACAGAAACAAACGGAATTTTATTGTCTAAACAAACTGTATTGCTAATCTGCATATATCCGACAAAGATAGATGTTGTTTTCATGTTGTATGATCGATCATATTTGAAAGATGAATAGTTAGGTTATGTTAAAGCAGGTTATGTTGTTTTCGAATAATACTTTGGTCGTTGGTGTTCCTATCTTAAGGTATTCTACTCATAACTATTTTTTTCAAAACAAAAACTCCCCACTAAAATTATTATTAAGGTATCACTCAAAACCATGAAATAAAATGAAAATAAAAATAATCAGTGAAATAACCTAACTTCGCAAAATCATAATATAAATTTGTTGTCATTATGTTCCTGACATCGTGATTTTATCATCGGTGTACGTCCATTGATTACTTCAGTACAATTTAGGGTATGACGTAATAGTAATATTTCGTGATTTTGACTATAACCAAAGTGTTACCGGTCCGAAGTGCTCCGGTTTAGGTAATATAGAAAATCGGAAGAACATCACGTTACAGACCGATTTCTTTATTAGGCAGGCATTATCAAGCCAATGTGGCAATTTATACTACCTCGGCATGGGTATCATGTCGATTTTTTTTGACATTGTATTGGTTTCTTGAGACATTATGTAGGCTTTCCTACTAGATGTTAACTTAGCACTAGATGATGGACACTTGCTGGGAACTCGTTTTATAGTTTTACGTGTTGCCTAAACGTACGATGTTTCAGTTATCAATTTGGCTCTGATGTGATGTAAAATCTGCTTCAGAGACGGCATTACTGGAGGTAACGGCAATGCATAGATGCATAGTGAGGATTTGTGTGCTAATAATATGTGTTGATGATAATTATTCCAGAAATTAGTTGAGCATCCAGTTTTTCTTATCGATTCTGGAAATTACATATGGAAATATGCTGAATTTCAAAAATAAGAGAGATGAGAAATAATTATATTTACTGTACACTGTCGAATTACAAGTCATATACATACTAACATTAAACACAAAACGCGGGCGCGGTGGTGATTTCCCGTAATTCTCCTCAAAGTTTTTGAAAATACAAAAAACGTGAAATATCGTAATTTATAACTTTGAACATAACCTGTCTCAGAAAGGGCAACATATTAATAACCGGTCGGGTACAGCTAATAGATATACAGTGAAAGCTCCCATAAGCGGACACTCACGGTTCCGTAACTTTTGTCCGCTTATGGGAGGTGTCCGTTTAAAAGAGAGTATGTAAGTATAGAGTATAAATAACGGGGTATATAATCATGAGGAAATGAGGTATTATAATCATGAGAAAAATGAAACAGAAACTCGCCACATTTTTAAAGTATGTATTTATGCTATATATCTATATAATATATGTACATATACGCATACAAAAACATAAATACTTCAATACATGGTACGAGAATTTAAAAAAAAACATTATTCTTTAGCTTGTTGAAAAAAGTTTGAAATGTTTGTCTGACGAAATTTCACCATCTTTTGCTGAAGGAGACAATTTTCGTAATAACTTTCTAAATTTTTCAAATGTTGAAATGCAGTGAAATCATCTTTAGCAAATTTTTTCAATATAGAAATATGATTTAGAGCTTCCCCATATGAATTTATCGTTTTTGAACCGCTTAGTGAGTCCACCAGTTCCACTTCTTCTTCTGAGTCGTTTGGACTACCATATTCAAGTTGGCCTGGGCTTTCTACATCCAAATTCGAAAAGTTGCCAATGGCATTTTCTTCTGGTGTTATGTTATTGTCTATGGCCAGGAA